TTACATCTGACAAAGTCATTTTTTTAAGCTCTCTGAGGTGTTACTCTTGCATTGTAATTATAAGTATGATATGCCATTTAAAGAGTGTCCTTCTTCTAATGTGTGCTGTTGAAGGGTTATATTTTTATTACAGTATTGAAATAGTTTTGTGGATTCAAATTATTCCTGGTTAAAAAGGGATGTGTTGATAATTGAACCATAATAAAAAGCTTGGAGTAAATGGGTTTACTCTTAGGCAGAGTTCAGTGGCAGAACATATTTTCTGCAAGACTTCAGCCTAAAATCTTCCTTTCCTAAAGTAGTCGCTGTGGGGACTTAAGTTTTGAGTATGTACTGAGATACTTGAAAAGAACGTAACCTTTCAGAAAGTTTTGAACAATTAACCTTCAAAAGAGCTGCCCTTTCTGAAAATATATGAAAGTAGGTTCCTAAAAGTAGTCACGCACAAGCATTGAAGTTGATAGGAGAGGTAGAGGGATTTTTTTGTTGTTTGGTTTGGGGTTTTGTGGTTTTGGTTGTTTTGTTTTTCTTTTCGTTAGTTCTTCTGTGCTACAGCTCCAGTCTATAAGGTGGGGAAATAATAGAACTTCCAAGTTTCAGTGGGTTTAATAGAACTATGAATTCCAGTTGATCTGGTACTTGAATGCTCTTGTAATGAGTGTCATGCAAATAGCTTAGATAACTAATCTTCCATTTTTAGTTTGGTTCTCTGTGTCATACATCAAAATAGAACAGAAATGTGTAAGCTGAGTACAACTTAAAACTTAAACCAGAAGAGGTAACTTACCTTCTTAATGCTGAACCTAGAAAAAACTAAAGCTACTTTTCTAGAAGTTTTATGGGAGGAAGAAAAGGATAGAGAAGCTGTACGGTGTCTCTTTGTACTTCAGTGTAACTTTCTCCTTAAAAAAAAAACCCCAAAAAAAACAACAAAAAAAAAAACCCAACAAACACAAAAGCACCACTGAACACACAGAGTTAATGCAGAGATCAGATTTGTACCAATTTTTAAGTTACAGAAAATTACTAAGGAAAACTCGGCTATCAAAAATCGGTGTTTCTTGTTCTTGTGAAGCATGAAGAGAACGAGATTTTCTTGACAAACAGCTTCCATAAGTGATGCTGGAAATCTGGATTTTAATGTACTGGAACTATGCTTTATACAGGAGAAGCTTTAGTTTTTACACTATTGGAATACAGTAATCTATATGTATTGTCTTATTTTTCCCTCTCCCATTCTGAGAAACTTTTCTAGCTATTTTATATGGTGCCAAAACTACTTCTGAGTCTGTCCATCCCCTCCTTCTCTCTCCTTCCCCCCACCCCCCATCTGGGCATAAGTACTAAAAGCTCAAGGAATACATTAGTTTTTATTAGTTACATGAATTTGTGCTAGGAGAATACAAAGTTATTTTGTTTAAAAATAAATAAATAAATGATTAGTAAATTAGGGAGGAAAGCCTGTTTCTGTGTAATCCCACTCCCACTTCATGTAAAAACGAGGCTATGTCTCTCTTCTTAAAAAGGCAGAAAAGATTAAGTAGCCAAAGCAGACAAGCAACTTCTGCAAATTCCCATTTCAAGATTGTACGAAAAGGACATACATATGCTCCTTGCAGCGGAAATTATTTGTACTTCTGTATGCAGCATTCATGATACTTTGGGAGAGCATAGAGAAGAGACAGTGACTTAGTATTGAAGAAAGTGGTTTAAGATGAGAGAATTTAAGAACTGTATCTTTAGTTGATTGCAAGGATAAAGGTGAAGTAAGTGTTTTAGAAGCACTCTTGTTAGGGGAAGAAATACCAGATTCTTAATGAAAAAGGCATTAACAGCAGCGTCTAGCTGGAAGTTACTAAGATAAATTCAATTGATAGGTAAGTGATGCATTTTAATAGTAAAGTAATCAAGGAGAGCAATAGTCTCTCAATCCATATATTAGTCATATGGATTCTGTTCAGTATAGAGGTAGCTGTGAAATGGAATGATGTACGCAGGTGGCCAGGCTCGATCATTTCTAGATCAAACTCTTCTAAGGTCTACATTACTCCATGATGTATCTGTTTCTTTCCTCCGCCCTCCTCTTTCTTGCCATGATTCTTGGTTCAGGTATGCATAATGGGTTCCAGACTTCTTTGATCGACGCAAGGTTCCAGATTTCTGGACCGGCAGCTTACTGAATTGCTAAAAGCATCTTTTGATGTGAGCAGAAGGTATCTTTTACTCTAGGTGGCAAACTTTTTAGATGCACAAGGATGTTTTCCCTCCCATAGAAGGAAAGATGGTTTTCACCATTAACAGAAATATAGTTTGTGGTGGAATTTTTGTTTTGTGTTGGTTGTTTTTTTTCAAGTATTATTTTCAGGTAATGACAGGAGAAAATTCTGCTTAAATAAAATGTTGTATGCTTTTTTCTTCCATCTGAAGTAATAGAACTTACAGCAAGAATTCACTTGTTAATTGTTTCTTTGAATTCCAAAAAGTTGCTTTTGTTTATGCTACCAAGTGTGATCTTAGGAAGAAATCAGGGTGAAACGGATTTACTGGAAAAGTTGCACTCAAGAAATTTTTTACTTTAATCCTGCTCTTCCAAGCTATAGCCATATCTGAAGGTATGCTTTTAGTGTTCATTGGGTGCTAGTGATAATAATACAGGTCTACCAATGCTCCTCTGAGTCGTTTCTGAGGTGATTGGCTCCACATTGTTGTTAAATAAATACAAAATAAATAACCCAAAGACCATCCTCTGAGATTCCCCCCTAAACAGAACGCTTGAAAGGCAGAATGCCAGTTGTGTGTATGCAGATATCACACAGTAATTATGTGGTAAAATGAGAATCACCGTTCAGCTGGTTATGTGGGCAAGCCTTTAGTTTGTCTCCTGAAGCATCTAGTAATAGTGTGTCCAAAAATTATGACCTGTTGTGTTAAGATTGAGTCGTCTTTAAAAAGTTCAGTTTGTTTTTTTTTATTTGTCTGCTTCAGAGTTGACCCATGTCTGGGGAAAGAACAAGGGCCTATTTCAGGAAACCAAACATTTAACATGCCTGCAAAAATGCAGCATTCCTGTGTGTTGACTGGCAGAGACCCTGTTTAACTGCTTCCAATCTCTTTAGTAATTGGGACTGGTGTTTTCTGCTCCTTCGCATCAAGTGAACCAGTCCAATGCTTTCTATGTGCAATTCCCATAAGCAGTTAAATATATGGGCTTAAAGATTATCTTCTGCCACCCTCCTTTCTCCTGAAAGTCTCAATCATTGCTTTCTTTTTCCCTTTAATCCTTCTGTCTTAAAACTTTTTGATTTGCCTCTTGCTGTATTTTCTTGTCCATAGTCTAGAACTTGCTTAGGGTTTTACCCCATGAGTGGAAGTGGATATAATGTTTGTGCCTATGCTCTAGTCATAGCTCCATTTCTTGTGTACTTGCCCTCTCCTCCTGAAAATCATGGTCTAGTTTGTTTAAAGTAGAATTGTTTTTTCTTGTCCTTGCTTTAATATTTCAGACTCTAAACTCGAGCTGCTGGTCTTTAAGTGGTGTAGCAGTTTCTGCAAAACTGGAGGTTAGGTAATCCTGTAGATGGTCAGGCGCACCCTTGCCACTCTGCACCACTAAGTTTATTGCTAGCTACGCTGCCTTGCTTTAAGAGTTGATCTTAGCTGTTAATATAGCACTGTCTTCTCCAAGAGCACTCTGGCTCCACCAGACTGATTATGGAAGATTTTGGCAGAATGCTGTGATACTGCAAAAATCCAACACGTTTTTGAAACTTTTATAGGAAGATTTGTGATAAAATTGAGTTGGCAGACCTGTAGAACTGCGTAATAAAATAGAATTGAAAATATGCCATGCTTTTCTCCATCTTTTCAAATGATTGTTTCTGTGCTTAATACTCTACCAGTTGTATATCCAGTCATGTAAAGTGATAAAGATTGATGTCACTCTAAAAAGGATTAAACTATTATCCAATAAAGAATTAGAAGGGAACTTAAATAAGCTATATCTACAGTGAAACATGGTGCCTCAGTGTATGGAGGTGGTGAAGGTTTTGTTTGCCTAACCTCTCTTCATGTTTTTTTGGGTTGGTTTGTTTCAAGTCAATATTATGAAAAGGGAGAGTTTTGCCCTATAAAATACTGTCTCCCTGTTGCTCTGTGCTTCCATACAATAGTTCTGTCCACCTGGTTTCTCTAGTCTAATGTAGTTAATTAACAGGACAGAGTGTGTCTTTTGGTTCACTGTGTACTAAGGCTTGAAAGAATTGATTGTTTTAAACAATCAATTTAAAATTAATCTAGATAAATCATTATGTATTTCTTTAACTGGGAATTTGCACAAAACCATCGGGGGGTGGCTGTGGGAAGAGAGTCTGGAAACTTTCCTGGAATGCACAAGAAAGCACATCCTCTCTACATTCACAATGACGTTTCCACCTGTTCCTGATCTCCTGAGACCACACAATCAAAGGAGTATGGAGGACTGGGTCAGACTGGAAAGGAAAGTGCATGTTGGAGCTTGGAGGAAGGAAAGAGGCAGCAGTGAGAATCCAGTGCAGCTGTTTGTTTCCTCCCAACCTGTTTCTCTACGCAGCAGAGGCGGTCCTCACTTATCCTTGTCCCACTTTCTTAAGCTTAGATGTGTCTAGAAGTTGCGGACAGTGATGGTCATTCTGTTGTGGAGTTTGGGCAGGGTCATTAGCTTTATTTCTATTAAATTAGAAATTAAACCAGCATTCATTTGTACAGTGCTAGTCTTGGTGGAATTCTGGTTCATCACTGGGGATTGCAGGCATTACTGTCACGCAAGAAAATGCTGCTTCCTTTTTTAAAGCTCTAGGTGCTCATGGCACGCCATATTGATTTTCTATAGCTGCAGTTCGAAAGAATGAAAACTTCAAGAACTTTACCAATTATAATTTTTCTTCGGTTCTTACTGCTCGATAATGGTTGACTGAATATTTGAAAGAAATAAAAACAATGTTCTGTTCTATTTTTCAGAGAATGCAGAATCAATTGATCTCAAACAGTTTTTCGACCTACATTTCTCACATATATATTATGTGTTCTTTGAAAACTTTGTGACTATTGAAGTAGGTTTTAAACAGAAAGGTAAGTGTTTCTAATGGAACAGTTTTCTTGTCTTCGTGCTTCTGTGATTGTTACAAAATAAAGCAGGGTGTTATAAATAAAGCAGGGTGTCTTTGGTCACAAGTGGCCTTAGTTGTGTAGAAATATGTGTAAGCACGAACTTTGCAAATAAAGGCAGAGCAATTTGATGTGTATGCCATAGAGGTAAGCAAGGAGAGTTTATCCTCTGATAGCTGTTTTTGCCCTTTTGCTAAGTGAGGATTCTTAAGGTGTTATACTTTTTGTGTTCCGCAGAATTATTCTAAGTTTTGTTTAGCAAGATACTGTGTAACTTAATCTCTACCAGCTGTTGATGCCATAATGGAAAGTAACTATTATAAACCGTAACTAGGAAATAAACTTTTTTTATTTGCAGAAGGAATGCAAAATAGTTCTTGTGGTTTTATAAATGCATGTTTTTGTTTTACACATCTAAGGATCTTTGTCAGTGTTCTTTATATTTTGTTTTGATAATGAAAGTGTATCTTCTATTTATTTTTAATTGCATCTAGGTCACAAGTCACAGAGAGAAGAATTAGATTCTATTCTTTTTATTTTTGAGGTAAGATAACCTGAACATTCCTGTATGAATTTTTTACTTTGAATTAAGTCCTGTTGAATAATAACAGTACAGCTATCCTACAGTTGTCTGGAGATGCACTTTAAGCTTAACTGCATTCCCTTTTCTTTTGCTTAGAGTTGTATATATGTACTTTGTGTGAGGAAAAAGTTGACTTGCAGTTTTGCAGAAAGATGTCTTAACTGAAAAAAGATGTTTTCTGTATCTGCAGATAGTTCCTTACTTTGTGGTGGTGGTCTCTCCGCTTTTCCCCCCCATGTATTGTACACTTTGAAATTCTTACAAATACGATCTCTGATTAGTTGTGATCTTTTTGACCTTTTGCTTGCATGTTGTCATAGAGTAGTTTGGGATGGAAGGGGCTCTTAAAGGTCATCTAGTCCAACCCCCCCTGCAACTAGCAGGGACATCTTCAACTACATCAGGTTGCTTCCAACCTGACCTTGAATGTTTCCAGAGATGAGGCATCTACCACCTCGCTGGGCAACCAGTGCCACTGTTTCACCACCCTCGTCGTAAAAAATTTCTTCCTTACAACTAGTCTGAATCTACCCTCTTTTTAGTTTAAAATCATCACCCCTTGTCCTATCTCAACAGGCCCTGCTAAAAAGTCGGTCCCCATCTTTCCTATAGGCCGCCTTTAAGTACTGAAAGGCCACAATAAGGCCTCCCCAGAGCTTTCTCTTCTCCAAGATGAACAATCCCAGCCTACCCTCATAGGAGATGTGTTCCAGCCCTCTGATTGTTTTTGTGGCCCTCCTCTGGAGGACCTCCAACAGGTCCATGTCTTTCCTGTGCTGCGGACTCCAGAGCTGGATGCAGTACTCCAGGTGGGGTCTCACAAGAGCGAGTAGAGGGGCAGAATCACCTCCCTTAACTTGCTGGCCACACTTCTTTTGATGCAGCCCAGGATTTGGTTGGCTTTCTGGGCTGTGACTGCACCTTGTTGGCTCATGTCTAGCTTTCCATCCACCAGTACACCCAAGTTGTTCTCAGCAGGGCTGCTTTCAATCCCTTCATCCTCCAGCCTGTATTGATACTGGGCGTTGCCCCAACCCAGGTGTGGGACTCTGCATTTGGCCTTGTTGAACCTCATGAGGTTCACACAGGCCCATATCTTGAGCTTGTCCAGGTCCCTCTGGATGGCGTCCCATCCCTCAAGCATGTCAACTGCACCACTGAGCTTGGTGTTGTCTGCAAACTTGCTGAGGGTGCATTTGATCCCACCACCTATGTCATTGATGAAGGTATTGAACATACTGGTCCCAATGATTTTTCTCACAATAGATTACTGCTGCAGAACTAGTTTTTATAGATCCCTTTTATTTTTTAAAAAAGATTTATTATTTGAAAATAGCATTTCACAATATCCTTATTGAAAACATATCTTGAATTAGAAACTGATTTAATTAAATAAGGTAATTTCTGAGCTTAGAATGTCAGGTTTTTGTCTTTCCTTTTTGATGGAGGCTTCTAATTATAGAACAAGGACTGTGTTTTTTAAAAAAATGTAAAGTTGAATACAAATTCAGTATTTTTTTTTAAGGTCCATTAGTGCTTAAAACTGTAGGTTTAGCTGTTGCAAGGAGAGGGAATCTGAAGAGAGCTGGCTCATTTGTTCACTGGTTCCCACATAAAGGTGTAATAGATGACCTGTGCTTTGGGGGCAGTTATACAGCCTTCTAGAGGGCCAAGACCAGAATTTCTTTTGGAAAATCAGATTGTTTACAAATTGCTAATGTCTCTAGCATAAATGTTGAAGGGTTACATTATAAAATTTTTAACTGCATTTGTCATAAACTGTGCTCTGTTTTTTACCATCTGAAGATGATCTTCCTCCAATGTAGCTGGAGGGATGTGATACCGTTATTGCCCTGGCTCTTTTTGTTACTGTTTCGCTCTAGCTCATTACACCTCTGTTGAGAAGGCTGAAGCAAAAGTTTGCCTGTGCCACAGAGGCGAGTTCACAGCTGAGCATCCTAGCTTAAGCCACCATAAAGGTGGAATTAACCTAATACAACCTGTTGTGAACCAGAGCAACTGAGACAGATACTCATCCCATTCCGCTCCCTCTGCTATAAACAGTAATATCCAGCAAAGAGGCAGTGGAGCCAGATAAACTGCAGTAATGTCTGAAGTCTCCAATGCAGGACTTACCGGACAGTCTGTCAGAGCCTTTGGGCTTCTTAGCTGTAGGAGTGGGATTATCTTGAAAGGACAGTAATGCTTCCAAGGAGAACAGTGTGGAAATTTTCTAAGTTAACCCTTCACCTTCTGATCTGTGGCCTCTGCACGAGTGCTCTTTGGTCTTCTGAGTGCAATATCTGCAACATGGATCCTTGGGTTCTGTTTTTTGTAGAAAATTTTGCAACTCCTTCCAGAAAGGATTCATCAGAGATGGCAATTTCATAGTATTGGTAAGTTGATTTTCTTTATTTCTTTCTGTCTTTCTCCCTCTCTTTTTTTTATTTTTTTTTAAATCTTATTTTTGATCAGTAGCTATTGGTACTTTGTGCTACTCATTTCCGTAACCTTTAAGTGGTGTAACGGGGATTATAGTCTTGAAACTCTTGCAAGCTACGGGAAGGGGAAAACAAACAAAAAACCGCACCAGTGTAATGAGATGCTGTTCTAGATAGAGGTAAAGCTGCGAATCTGGGAATAGAACAGTGGCTGAGAAAGAACAAAGGCAGGTGAAAAGTTGTTTTGTAATTATTTTTTTCCTAATTTTTTCTCTTAGTAATAAATTTAAAAATAGGGGTGAGGTCTGTATTTGTAAATGGGAAACACTGGTATTATGCACATTAATGACTTGAGAATCATTTACTCTTAGTGTACACATCCCAGAAAGACCTTGGGGAAAGATGTTACGGGTTATGAGGAAGCTATGAAAGGTGATCTTCATTTTCCTTCTGGCATTTAGAGAGTTGCCTGAGGATATCAAGTTCACCAAGATTAAATTGGAGCTTGCCAAGGACTTGTTTAAAAGTTACTATCAAGTCTGACCGAGAACTCTGACATCTTACTTAATAAAGAAAAAGCAAACAAACACAAATATTTTTTTTCCTTCCTTTTAGGGTTGATTTTAAAGAAGCTTCTTCACACTGGAAATTCGTTAAAGGTATTAGAAAAAGTTGCATACTACTTTTGTCTAGAAAACATAAAAGTACAAACAATATAAGGGTGAATTTTAATGGTAAAACCAAAGGAATGAGAACCAGATCATGACTTGTGTGTTGAGGAAAAGAGGACTTCAAATCATCAGGTTTACCTCAGTAGAACTACTCACTGTAGTAATGTGCTTATGTAGAGCAGCCAGGTTAAAAATGTGTGCAAGTGGTTGAAGGACTTGCATTAAAGCAGAAGTAAGCCTTAGCCATTCATTGTTAAGAGCAAGGAAACTGGTTTTGGGGCTCAGGCTGCCTTGGAAGTGGAAGATTATCTCGGCCGAAGAGGCCTATTGGTGGGTAGTGTAATAACAGTTGACCGTGGGACGAAGCCACCCAGATCGGCACTGCAGCAACCAACCGTGCCACTCCTGTAAGCCACCTGTAGGCATGGCCGGCGCTGAAATTCTCCAGTGTGAGAGCCAGGAGGGGACTGCTCTAGGACTCCATCACCTTTCTTGAAGAAGGAATGGAAGAGGGTAGGTCCTTCTCCTGCAGAGAGCTCACTCTGTTGTCGTAATTCACGAACACGTTTAGAAATTTTGTGATGATCTTCGTATTTTCTGAAAAATTCACATGGTATCTTGCACTGCTGTTGTCGAGCAAGTGACTAGACTTGTGTTGGTTTTCTTCCTCTTCTTTCAGAGAAAGCCCTTTGAAAGAGATTCCGTGAGGCAAAGAGCAGTGATGGTGCTAGGGTTGTCCTTGCATTTAGCAGCAGATGTGCTAGCTTAGCTCTGCTGACTGCTGGTGGTCATACTGTCTGTATATTGTCATCTTTTCTACCACCCCCTTTCTCCATCCAGGACAAATGGAAATGCTTTTGTATGTTCTGGGACAAGTTAACTTGTTCTGTTTTTTTTCCTTCTAAGATACGGCGAGAGGGCGTGCGTCTCTTTCTTTTGTGGCTGCAAGCACTTCAGAATAACTGTAGTAAAGAACAATTATGGATGTTTTCTTGCTTGATTCCTGGATTTTCATCACCCCAGTCTGAATATGGCCCCCGAACACTAGATAATCTCATTAACCCTCCACTTAATGTTCAAGAAAGTAAGTAATTTGGTAATATTACTCAATTCCCCACATAATTCAATTCTCGGCACAGAATAGGCAAGTTGAAGTAACGAAGAACTAGCATACCTATGGGAGATAACGGGTAATCAATTTTTAGCAGTTTATAAGGTCTTGTTCCAATAGTAACTTTGTCTTTTGTTGACGAAAGTAACTTTGTCTTTTGTTTGCCCTGT